GGTCGAACAACATCATCCCCGCTTCCCAATTATCAACTACGTGGGTTATCCTGGGCACCAAGAACGAGACGTGGAAGCAACCAGGCTGTGCGGACTACGAATTGCAGAGTGATTATGGCTACATTACGGATAAGAGACGGCAAAGTTGTACGTCGTCGTCCTCCACCTTGCCCCTCACATACCCACACCCATCATCCAACCGCTGCTCCGAGAATCTTTCGACATACTAATACCAACGAAAATAGGTGACTGCAAATTCGCCAACGGCACCACTGTAACCGCCGCCGAACAAAGAGACCTTTGGCAACACACCTCGTTTAATCAATTCGACGATCTTTTGTTCAATTGCACCTTCGACTTCCCCAGCAACACACAGACCTGGACGGAACAAAAGGTCTACAATCAAGACTCCGTCACTCATCTCTGCAACACCAGCGTCTCCGTCCCTGTCGGTGGCAAAACGTACAACGCCGACGACCTAGTCACAGACTACGGGTACTGCTACAATGGAATTGGGTACCAGTACTACTCGCTCATGGGGAAAAGCCGCTGCCTACCCGACACGGCCAATCCGACTTATCAATGGGGTTTCTCGACACTCATGGCTGGGTTATTTATGTTTGTAACGAGCGCCTGGGTGTTGAGCATGTATGTGCTGTGGCAGGACGCACAATTCAATTCTACGCTTGTCAAGGAGGGGTATAGACTCACGCCGTTGCGCGCGGCGTTTGCGATGGCGGTCGCGGCGAGGCGGCGCACGGGGTTGAGCGGGAAGGATCTTATCAGTGCGAAGAACAGGGCGTTGGGCAGACAGTTATACGGCAAGAAGGGGACGAGGGGGACGGTTGTGGAACATGGACTCTTTTTGCAGGACATTGAGGATATGGATACAGATGGTGGTGTCAAGTCGCCCATGTCACCAACGCCATTGTTATCAACGCCATCTCCTTCTTTCGCGCTGGCGGGTAAGGAGAAAGCGTGGATGGCTTCCCCGACGGAACACAGCGATATGGAGATTAGACCGCTGGCTAGGTCGGATACAGATTTTTCGGTTCACGTACTCAGCGACGAAGAATTGCGGAAAAGATACCTGAGAGGTGTGGAGGAGGCGAGGCTGAGTCGGAAGCCGCTTAGTCGGGAGGCGACACTTGTGGGCGAGGGGTTGTGGGAACGAAATCACGGTAGCGAGGGACGGGGCGGAGATGATGGACCGGGTGCTTCAGACGATGGGTATCCGAGAGAGAAAGAAGGCGAGGCTACGGACACATCGAAAGATACAAGAGAAGTGAAGGATGGAAAGGTTGGGAGATGGAGGAATAGATTGAAGAAAGTCAGACGGCCTGGCTGAGCGGGAAAACGTGGAGATTTGATACGAAGTAATGCATAATATGAACAAACATGTGATTGACATCCGGTCCATTCAACAGCAAAGGCACTTCTCATCGCGGACACAATCAACGTCTTTGGACATGTCATCAACTCTCCGCAGTTTGCCCGGCCAGATAACCTCTCTCCAGACAAGCTCAGAACATGGCTCCTAAGGATCTTGTTTTTAATTTCCCTGTTTCTGCTCTCATCGAAGGAGCTTGCTCTACTTTTGGTGTTGAGCCAACGTCGAAGTGTAATAAGGAAGACAGAGAAAGGGCAGAAGAGAGGGTCTTTAATACCCTTCTCGCCCCGCCGTGAGCACCGCAGTCATACCGCTCTAAGGACGATGCTTATGATCTTCCGCCTCATGTAACTTTGACTTCTTCCTTTGGCATCATGTGTAGAGCTTCCGCTCTTTTGAATAGTCAGAAGACCATGAGATACAGACCAAATTATTTTGATAGAATAAGCTGGAGCGAACTCTCCCATCGTGATGACTGTTGTTTTCTTTTGGAAGGCCCCGCTTCTCATAGGTCATCTCGGCGCTCTTTTTGAGAACCCTTCAGAGTTTTGGTTGTAAAAAAGTAACGAGAGGCGGGAAAGAGATCATCCCAGTGTAGTGTATGGATTTTGGAAGTTGAAGCAAGTCAGACATGTAACAATTGGTAGCCGTTTTTGGTCGTCTGCTTTCCATGATTCGAGATCGTCTGACTTTTGGTATTTTGGGTAAAGTAAAGGGTGTGTAGAAGAGAAGTATTAGAGAGGAGGATAGTGGTCTTTTATATGCTCTGTAGGCGTGTTCTTCTCGTCGCTACTAAGACACAACGCTAACACGCAGGTCTCTAGTTGAATGTGTGCCGTCGACGCGCACACGAACATTAAGACGTTCTTCGAGTATCTTTGACAGTCTGTCACATATACGGTTTTGATGCTTCAAACATGTACATATAAAGACTTGCAGACGACAAAACACCAGGCCATCGTCTCTTTTTGATTCCTTTTTGGCCGCAAGCCCAAAAGTCAGGACATGATCCATCCGATATGGACTTTCTGGTTCGACCGGACTCAAGTCATAAGTAAGCTCAGCGATGCTTTTGGTAATTCATCTCGGAAAGGCTAGGTAGAGAGCAGGAAAAAGAAGCAGAAGAGAAGGATTCTATACACGCCCTGCTCCCGCAGGGAAAGGAGGACATGCGCTATCCTAAAGCGAGTTTTGGAACTCGGTCTTCTCATCGCGTCTTTTAATCGGGCTTTTAGTATTTGGAAAAGGAAGTGTTGCTGATGAAGAATGGAGTAGAAGCAGACGAGGGTGTAACTATATGCATCACACCCCTTTCCGAGGAACCCCGACATGGCAGATGAAGAACATGGTTTCTCGAGCTCTCAACCTCTCATCCGACCAGACTATTCCATTTTTTGCATTGAGTTGAAATATAGATGTATGAGAGAAGAAGACAAGAGCATAGGCATATGAAATGTTGTGTTTTACAGCTCAGCGCGACATAGAGATGTAGGGTTATTCTTTCGATCTTTTGCTTCTCATGAGAGTGTGGCGTAGGATCTTTGGTAGATATTTTGGGTGTGGGATGTGGGAAAGCAGATTGAAAGAAAGCATATGCTGAAGAGAATGAAATTCGTAGTTGGGCTCGACGCAGAGCGGACATACTAGGCCTGGCGCATACTTTCTGATCTTCCACCTCTCATGCGTCGATATTGAAAGATTTTTTGGTGTTTGAACAATGGTACTATTTCAAAGGAACAGTGAGGAAGAGAGCAGGGTAGACATCGCGAGCCTTTTGTGCGCTTTCGATTCTCTCTGGTTCTCATCAGACCCAAATATCTTATTTTTGATGTCCCAGCCGAAGGAATGTTTGTATGGAGAAGAGCATTGACGAGGCTTACAGAAGAGTCCTTTTATGCGTTCATCTACTTATTAGAGAAGGACAACCATCGAGGATGTCGCGTATGCATTTGTGTCTCCCACTTTTCATTCCGCGCAACCTTAGTGAGTTCCATCTTCTCTATATCGCGTTGTCTTCGCGTAATTTTGATACGTAGCAGGGTGAACGGCAGACAGGCGCATCAAGTTGAACCAGTGGTAACTCTGGTTTTACATTCTGAGTGTGCTGCTTTTGGTAAAAAGGCCAGGTATATACCCATCTGAATAATTCTTTGAAGAAAGAGCGGAACACGCAGACATATACATGAGTTGTAGAATCTTTTGGAAAGGGATTCGTGCACCGAGGGTGTAAGATGTAAGATCGTATCCCGTGAATGATGAACCTTTGATACTGTTACAGTATGGTAGGCTGGCGATGACGTCTCCACAAGCATAAGCGAGTGTTGAATGGTTTTAGGAAAAGGGCGGAGAAGCAGACATCGTAATGTGAAATCTTGATTTGGAGAAAGAGTGTAGATTATAGGGTGCAGCAGGGAGATGCTTGTCTTCGAAATGGGAATTTGGACGCGCTTCCATGGAAGCCACTCGATGTAACTTGTTTCAGCGACCGAAGACATGGTCGTGATAGACGCGATTTTCGAGAGCTAGGCTAGAGATATGCGATGACATCGAGGTAATTTTGGAAGAGAGGAGGAGACGCAGACATCCGGGCGCTGCCATGTTCTTTTGGAAAACAAGCAAAAGCTTTTGGGATGTAGGAGAGGAGAGCAGTGAGGTATGGAAGGCGTTTTATACACATTTCTTGTGGCCGGGGACAGCGGAGCAAATCATCAATGTAATCAAGCCCCATTTTGGTAACACTCTGTGCAATGTGATAATAGAACTTCTAGTGCATGTATTGATAGCCATGACCTTTCGCTGTTCCGGGGAAAGAGGGAGTGTTTGCAACTGTAGATCTGGAGTGCCCATAGCAACTGATGTAGGCAATTTTAGTCTTCTTTCTTCCAGCCATGGGATGTTTGTGTATGTATTTTGAGAAAAGAAGGAGACGTCCAGGACATGTAAAGGTCCCACATAGATTTTCAATTTCGGTCCAAAATGTTGATATAGTAGAGAAAGACCCAAGAAGAGCGGTATACATACCTAGCCAGCGCTCCAAAATCATCATACGAGCGCTTGTCGTCTTTGTTGGAACATGTGAGCTTGCTGCAGGCCCTTTTGTTCCAAAACCGTTGTAGACAACCCATCATCTTGACGGCCACCGAGTTTCGAAGACAGTGGCGGCTCATGAGGATATCATCGCGCTTCTTTGAGTGAAAACCTTGATGAGTACTTGTTCAAAGACGCCAAAGGCAAAAACCATGAGTTCAAACTTATGACATGCGGAGTAGACCTTTGCACATTATTGAGGGCAGCGGACATTTTCGGGTGATAGATCGATCATGCATCACGCCTCTCCAGACTTGGAACCGAAAAGCGCAGGAGAGACAGCCATCGAGAAGCATCGAGCAAGTTTTGACATTCCAGAAGTAGGATTGTGTGATGAGAAGAAAGAAAGGAGCAGGAGGAACGAAGGCTTTTATACCCACCATTTTTCGTCACATGAGAGCACGGACCGTGCACAAAGAGAGCTGGTTCCAAGCCAAAAGTCCAGAAGCTCCAGTTTCTACTCCAGCCCGGGCTGCGTTTCGGTGACATGGACTACAGGTCCGATAGCTGCATCTCCTCGTCCTCAGCATCTTCTTTTTGGCATCGCCGCCTTGATCGCGTCTTTCAGCCACCCCGGCAACTCCTCCGCGTCCGACTTATCCCCGCTCTCTCCATTCTGGAACACTTTCCCCAGCCACATTCCACGCTTCAACATAATCTCTTTCTCTTCCTCCTCCACACCATCTAACCCAACCCTCCCCTTCTCAACAACATCCTCAAGCCACGCCCTAAACCCCGGATAAACATACATAGCCGCCACCCCTCCACTAGCCCAAGTAACACACGCCCACTCAATCTCCTCCCACTCCTCTTCACTACCCGCGAAATCCCTTATCGCAACTCCTACACTGTTCTTTTCGCGTTCGCCCAGGGTCTCATCGTCCAGCATCTTCTCCACGGCATCTTTGATCGGCGTAATGGTAGAAGGCGGAAGGAGCCACGTATTATCAATCTCCTGTGTACCAATCTCTAATGCACGACCGATGAGGAAATGCTCTGTCACTTCGTCGCAGGCATAGGCCTTCTTAGTTGGAGGGGGTGCGAAAGGCCATTTATCCCATCGAGTTGGTAGGTCGAGCGTGAGGTCGGTGAAGTAGTCTTCTTCTGCGGGGTCTAGCCAGCGTAGTTTATCGACAGGGTGGAGAGGTGTTTGGAGGTCGCCTAGGGGGTGGCCCCACGGAGAACCGAAACCATTGCTGAGGCGAATGAAGGTCTTGTAGTCGTCTGGCAAGGTGGTGTTCAGACGGGCTTCGGCTTCTTCAATCTGCGAGTCGGTGGCTGGGGAGTGGAAGAGCGAGGTTTCGGGCGGCTCGGGATTAACTTTTCTGGCTTCGGCGTTGTGTTTCGTGTTGTATTCTGCCGCTTCCAAGAGTTCTTGCATGGAGATATTCGCTCTTGGTCTAGTTCGACCGTTCGTGAGTCGATCGGTCAAAGCGTGCTCGAAGTCCTTTGCGAAGGTTGCGAGCGCTGCTTCATCAATGTTAACTCGCTGTCTCAGGGCTCCACTTTTATATGGCTTCCATGCCTGCCTGGACTCCATTGCTGGCTGAGTCTCATATGACCGTTCTCCAAAGCTATGCGCTAGCCAACGTAGTAACTCATGGGATGTCGGGGCGCCCAACTTGCGTAATGTTTCGCCCATGCCGAGCTGTTCATGGTGTGCTTCAGCCGATAAGACCAGGTCCAGTATGCGCACCAACCCGCTTCTCACGTCTCGGATTGTAGGTGCCGGACTTGCAGTCTCCAATTTATGGATTGCATCTTTCGCACTATCAAGCATCTGAGAAGTGGTCGATGAACGATCAAGCTCATGGACGTGGAGTGCTTCTGCAGGTCCTGACCCCGGCATCACAGTGGGCTTGTACCATTTCGACGCAAACTCTTTCGCGATAAGTTTCAGCTCTTCCTGTACATCGTCCGGTGTTATTGTTCCGTCATTCCTCGTTCGAGCAACGTCGCTGCTAGTCTTGGCTCGTCTATCCTTCACAGCCCGACGCACCTTATCTTCTTCTCCATCAGGCCATGGCACACCATCTGCCTTCGCACGCAGATCCCAGAGGAACCAAAGGGGCCGAAGGCTTCCGAATCGGTCGTGGTAGAAGTCATAGTTGTTGAGTCTGCTTGTCAGGCGCGCTGCTACATCTGTGTAGCCTAGGAGAGCCAGCTCTGGAATGAAGCGCGACGTGTAGTCATAGAGGCTATTATTATCGCAACGTGATATGAGCGCCTTGAGTGCAGTGTTCGATGAGGAAGACATGGTAGTGTGGTGAGAATGATTCCGACGCGTCCAGGTAGTCGCGCCGCGTGCGGAGGCGGGACTGACGTCATGTGAAGGATCAGGCGACCAGCAACATCACGATGAAGGAGAACACATGGAAGGAAAGGACTTGGTTGCGATTGAAGTTCTACTGGTCATTTTATGTGTGCAAGGAGAGTCCAACAAGGTTTGATCGTGCGCGCGACGATACATATAACCATAACCAAAACGGCAGAGCCCCCAGACCCAGACTCAGACCGCGAGCAGAGGCTCAATCCTACACTCCTCCTCTACTACTATTCGTTGTTGAAGTCACGATAACATCTACAGCGAACGAGGGCGAAACCGATCGCGGTCAAGGATGGCGAAGTCGAAACCAAGTCAGTACCGTGGTAGGTGACGCCAGTGTCTCAAAGAGAGTGACTAAGTACCTAAGTAAGGGTTAGACAGTAGAAATGACAGTAGAAACGACCGGGGGTGCGAAAAGTATAAGTGTGAACAGTATATATGGCGTTGTAAATGTCTAGCGACAAAAGAGACAAGAAAGGTTGACGGTGGAAATGAGTTGAGACACAAGGAAAGAAACAGTTGACAGTGGAAAGGACTGAAAAAGCAAGAGAAACGCGAGAGAAACCTTACCATATTGGCTGTATGTGTCGCGTGGAGGTAGTGGTAGTGGTGGCAGTCGTTGTAGTGGGATCTATCTGCGAACGTGTGGGGAGTAGAAGCGTTGGATTGCGGAGGCGGAGCGATATTGATATACGTGCGCTCGGCCTCCGGATCAACTCCCGGCAGCGGGATAAGCGAGAGCAAAGAATAGGCGGCAGCCTATTGTTGGGTCTGAGCTGAAGTGACAGTGAAGACGGAGCGCGCGCTGAAGAGCTGAGCACGGGCCAGAAAGCCGCCGGTGGGGAGAGAAGAGCTCGAACTGGTACCGACATTGGAAAGAGGGCCAGACGTCCGGCCTGTTAGTGAGTAGATTGGTTAGTACAAGCCGATAATGAGCCCCGTCACTCGATGTATGACTTTGTCCTTGTAGTTACCAATTGTGATTACATATCCACGGGTATCATTAATTAGAACCGCTCAAACAAAACAAACGAAAATACTCTTCACATCGACCTCTCTCGTACCCTCGCCCCTTGCTTCAAGGGCGTCTCATCCCCAAACACACTCGGCGCCGGTGCGTCATTGCTACTCCTCGAGCTGCCCTCTATGAAATCTCTCCTGTCAATATAATCCTTCCTATCCTCATGTGTGATGTGTAAATCCGTCGTACACTGAATACCACCCAGCTCCAAACTCTCATCGCTATCAATCTTGCTCAGTCCCGCGCTGCGCATGTTCGTCGTGTTGCGTTTCGATCGGTTGGTCAGCTGAACCGAGTGCGGTTGGTGCGAGCGTGCGTTTGAGCGGGAGTGCGAGTCCGGGCCGGAGGAGCTGTGGAATTCTTCGGGGTTCATATCGTTCTGGGGTTTGCCTTGCGCGAGGCGGACGACGAGGGAGGCCATGGACATTTCGATGTTGAGCTTGACCATGTAGACGACGGGGTGGAACTGGACGTATACGACTTGGTTCTGGAGGAACATGAGACCGATGAGGAGGGCGTCCATGGCGATGGAGACAACCATTAGCTTGCCGTTAAAGCCTACCAGTGGCGCGTATTTGGTGAGACCGTGTTGTTCGACGAGGCGGATCTTGACGGTTCGCAGGAAGTACCAGTTCAGGCCTGCGTCGACGATTAGGATGAGCACCTTGCTGACCTTGTCCCAGACGTTGTTGATCTTGACGAAGGTTTCGCTGATTGGTGGGACGGTGTGCGATGGGATCCAAATACAGAAGACGGCGATGTTGATGCTGGTGATCAAGACTACTGTTCCCCATTTGAGGTTGCGGATGGTACTTCGGTGTTCTGCGATGAGGGCAATGCGGTTGATGATGATTTGCATGAGCAGTTGGATCTCCCATACCCAGAAGAATAGGATGAAGAATAGAACGGGAACACTGTAGTCTTTGTCAGCGTCGACTCTTTGTCGTGTACTGCAGTGCCAGGGAACTCACGTCGGCCCGAGTACATCGTTCAAGAACAGCCATCCGATGATACCGATGATGACATTGACCAGAATCTCACCCCATATCATGTAAATGTAGGCTGATCGGAGAGGGCTGTGATTTCGCCGTGTCTGCTTGACGGCCTCCCATACTGTCAAGAACCCGAACCCAATCGTGAAGCCGGCAGCCAGAGCAGCAAGCTGGAAGTCCTGGACGGTAGCCGACATTGTGTGGTGTAAGTAACGCCGAGGTCGGGGAAGGAGAAGTCGGTCAGAAAGATCCTGATGTAGAAGGGCTCAGGGTCTCCAAAACACCCATATATCGCTGCTGATCCCGGAAAGGAGGCACGCCGCTCCAGAAAGCACGTTGCAAACTACCGAAGAGTTCATCATGGGTAACTGACTAGCAGCAGGATGGTATTAGTGGACGGGACGGCATGCACCGTGGAGCTGTCAACTTAGCAAGCGGCTTGGGTTGTCTAGCCATGCTCTAGCTGCCAATCACCACATGGAGATGTTACCCGCTAGTAATTCCAAGTGTTCCGAAGGACCCTCGCTTGCGTTTGCGAGTAGACGTGCATTACGGAGTGGACCGGCTTCCTAGCTTGGTATCAACCAGCGGGACACTGCGCACTCTGGGCTCCGACGTTCAGAGCGCCACATGTAAGTTAGATCTGTCTCCTACCCGAAAGTAAGTGTCATCTTAAACCTTAAATTACACGGCTGACGTGTATCGTGGAACGTAACAAGAATATCGGGTTTTGTTAGTGTTGAAGACGATTACTATTCTCATCGGGTAGTGGACGGTCGCCGACTTCATGACATGTAAGTGATGATAAACATAGATGTCGCGATAATACTTCCGAAGGCTAGGATACTCAAGATTTTCCCAAGGTTGCCTTCCTGCGTGGGGCCGCGGATCTTCAACGCTCATGGAACTCGTCAACGCGAATGCATGAATGCGCGACATCTGACTCCACACCAAGACGCAGAATCTGCACCGCCACTTCGTCAGTCGACCTCTCAAACGGATGGACAGCGCCCCTGCACTCCCACTTCCCTGCAATCACTGCAGAAAGCTGGGCGCTGCGGCTCAAGGTCTGCATTTGATATTCACCGGTGGTTGAGACGGAGTTGGTACACGTACAATGCTGATACCCGCATGAGACCACATCGATACATGGGGTCGACTTTGCTGGTGTATTCGGGGTACGATCGTAGCTTCCGTCGCTTCCCCTGATTACATGTGTGAGTATGACCGAGGAAGACCCGCAATTATTCAAGACGATGGTTGCAATTATTCCCGTCCAAGGTGATGCTGAGGTGGTGGTGGCCGACATTGACCGAATGGCAATGTGCAGAGTCATGGAACATCGTATGAGGATTCTGGCTCAGCTGACCATAATCTGCAACCCAACTCTTGTGAAAATGCATCCACGTTCTGCAGGTCGCAAAAGAAAACCTATGTGGCGTTGTCTCTTGAGATCCAGTCTTCTGGAATTCTTCCTTTCCAATCGGTGCTTCTCCGGTTTCCGGCAATCTGGCCAAACGCGTCCCTGCCACACGGCTCGCGGTCCGTGCGCAAAGTCTGTCGCTACCCGCAGAGAGCGGGCTTCGAGAGGCCCGGACCAGATCTGGAGGATGAGCCGCATCTCAGATGGACCGAGGATGCGCTCGTATTGCGCAATTGATCTCATCGCGTCCACCTGTACTTGGGGTCCGTCGGAAGATGTGTCGAGGCCAAGGATCGCCACCAAGTCTGTTGATGGAGACAGGCATCAGCTAGTATTGGCGAAGTCGGCGAGCTGGAGCATCGAGCCTGGCGTGGCGGATCAGCGGGCAGTCGAACTAGGCACGGGACAGTGGTGTGTAGCCTGAGAACGGCAGATCGCATATAGAGCGAAAGAGGAAGTACATACAGTATAAGGTTTATTTGACACTCAGATGCCGTGTTCGTTCTGCGCCTGTCACACCTAGTTCACGCCGTCGTCTATCGCTTCCTCACTCCCGTTGCCGTTCACAGCACACTGGTAAACTTGCGATCAGTCCTGCGCATCGATGCCGAACTCCTCTTGAACTTCGACTATCCGTACGCCCCGCTGATCCGCAATAAGGCCCATCAACCCCTGACCCACATCTTTCAGCTCGTTGTATTCGTGTAGTAATTTGATGTGCTCTTTCACGATTTTGTTTGCGGCTGCCATGACATCGGTCTCAGTAGGTTCATCGCTGACATCGCCTGATTCGGCATCTGAAAGGGCATTCTCTTCCATCAGCACTTGGATCGCTGGAAGCGCACCGAGAGAAGCCAAGAGTGCAGCTTTTTGGGCTCTCAGATTGTCAAGAGTGATTTCCTGTGGTGTTCTCGATAGAGGTATTGGGATGGGTAATGACAAGCGTTGGGCGTCAGCGTGTGGTTGGGCATGGGTAGATAGTTGAGCGATTGGTGAACTAGCACCAAAACTTGAGCCTGCGCTCTCTCTCGGCAATGCCACTTCTTCTGCGGATGGTTGCTGGTCCGCGGATGTGCTTCGGGAAGTTTGTTCCTGGCCGATCTCAGAGCTAGATCCGTTTTCGATCATGGCAGCTTCGCTAGCGTTGATGTGCATTCGCGCATCAGGACGCGTATTTTCAGTGTCTTGAGCCCTATGGAGCGTGGAGCTGGTGTAGTCGTCCGGCATGGTCGCAGCAGGACCTGCGTCGCCTGACGAGCCTAATGCAATCCTTGTCGTATTCGACTGCATGCTGGCGGCTGCTGAGGTCGGCCGAGATCGGTCCTAACGTATGTGAGCGCGTGAACTTACAAAGTATTGATCTAGGACAGACTACGTTGTCGCTCATGTGTCCATCTACCGGATGATGCTTTACAGCTCGACCCGAATCATCCTTCGACTCACGAGGCAGACTGGCGAGTGTGACAGTACTTTGCGATTGACATGTTGACCCGTT